GCATACCAATTTAGATGAACATATTTCTAGAGCTCAATAGCTACATGAAGCTGCCATATTGGATAACACAGTTCTAAATGTTGGAGTGGCCAAGGCTCAATCCTATTTTCTGTTTACAGTCTTTCTCTTTGGGTGACCTGTGTGAGCATATATTTTATATATATACTGATTCGCTGGTTTAATAAGTATTTATTAAGAGCCTGATTAGGTGTCAGGTTACTGTGTTTGAGGTGACAAGGGGACATAATAGTGAATAAAATAGAAATCGCTCCCTCCTTACCAGAGCCTATTTTCTAATAGGCGAGAGAGACGTTGAGCAAGATAACTGAGTTGATTAAACAGTATAATAGGAGTTGATAAGTAGGGACAGAGAAGGTGGGGCAGGAAAGTGGGAAGTGGAGTCAGGGGCAATGAAGGGGCTCAGTGATGTAGGACATTTTGTGGGCTATCAGAAGGAATTCAGCTTTTATATCAAAATGGAACATGACTAGAGAGATATATGCAAATGAGATCACGATAGGACTCCGGTTGTGAAGAACATTTTGGGTGCTGTTTTGAGAATATACACTGGAAGATCAGGGAGTGGGAGAATGTGACCAGATAAGAGGCGGTTGCAGTAATCTAGGCTGGGGACCAAAGCTTTGGCCTATTACTAGGGGAAGTGGTGAGGTTTTTCAGATTCTGAAAGACGTTCAGGCCACATGGGAACAATCTATACATATAAAATGTGTCCAGTAGGGTGCCCACCTGACACATATCTTCATTTAAACTTAAATTAAAATGAAATTAAAATTCAGCCCCTCAATTACACCAGCTTAGCCCTATTTCACGTGCTTACTATTCACAGTGGTTAGAGGCTCCTACATAGATAGAACTGTGGAGATACAGAGCATTTCCATCATCAAAAATGTTCCGCTGGACAGCGCTGACATGGACGACATCTACAGTTCTGCCCTTCTGCTCTCAAATCAGCTGCCTGCTGGATGTCTGCACTCCTTGATGAGAACGTCATCATATAATATCTGTAGAATAAGCATTTCTTCCATAACACGGTCACTATTTCTGAGTCCAGTTTTCGGGTTCATGGTTCCAATTCCCCAGTCTGCTTGGCCTTCATTTTCTCCATGTTGGCAAATGAAATCACTGTCTGCCTGGTTTTCCCAAAGCAAGGGGCCATTCCTGATTCCTATCCTTCTCTCTCCACCCACCGCCATCATTTCCAACTCATTGGCAGGTGAATCTCCTTTTACCTCCAAGACACATCCTGACTATGATCTCTGAGCATCTTCATGTCTATCACTCTGATAAAAGCTACCAGCATCTCTCCCTTGGACAAACTTCTAAGTTAGTGACCTTAAATTAGAATCATCTGGGATTTACAAAAACAACAAAAAACAATGTCTGGGCACGACTCCTTGCACACTGCTGAGGCTTGGCTTTGTAAATACTTTCCAGGTGACTCCAGTGTGCAAAGGGGCAGCAGGGGTGGGTTGGAGGACCTCTTCAGGCTGCCTCCACCAACTCCTCCCATTTTCTCCTCTCCATGGCGGAGCCAGAGTGAACTTTCTAAATCATAAATCAGGTCCTGTCTTTCCCTTGCTCAAAACGTTCTCATGATCTCTCACTGCTCTGAGAAGACCTCAAAGTTCCTGACCTTGCAGGGTCTGGTCCTTCTCATTTCTCTAGCCTGCTTCGGACTGGCTGGATCTCATCACTGTCACTTGCGCAGAGAGGTGTCCTGTTCCGTCTTTCAACAGCTCCTTCCCCTTCTCCAGCAAGGACTCTGGTCGCTCCGCTTTCCCAATTCCCAGGTTGACTCCCTTTGTAGAACCTATTACTCTGCAGCGGTCCTGGTCCTGGGGAACACTTTTCTCCTCTGCGGCTTATCTCCTCCACAAGAACAGACGTCCATCCAGGGGAGCGACTCCAAGGCTGGCTTCTCACTGTTCCTCTCTGCCAATCAGAGACAAATCTGACAACAACAACAAGAACAAAATATTTTTGAATGCCCCTTCATTGGCTGCATTTAGTAGATACATTTAATAGATTCTTTTAGAGCCTTCAGAGAAGAGACGATGATTAACAAGGATGGAGACAGGTGCGCAGCAGTGACCTATAATAGTGGCTCTCCTCCGCAAGGCTGTGCTTATCCATGTGACAAGAATCTTGAAAAAGGCACAACACACCCATTTTACAGGGGAGAATGTTGGGATTCAGAAAGGCCAGGTAGGGCCACATGTTTGGGCTATCACCCTTGTTCAGTTTGAAGAAGTTAAAGCTGGAAGGCAGGTCTGTCTGAGGACAAGTTCTGAGTCTTTAAAAAACAAGCAAACTTGCAGCCATTTGGTAAATATTTTTGAAGTAAATAGTTTCAAAGACAATGGGTGCGTTGAAGACTTATCTAACACCGGTATATAATTGATGCCTAGAAAAACAATAAGCTTCCATTTTTATTCCCATACAGCTTGGGTCACTCTTGCACCCTTTTTGCCCCGGTGCAGGACTCTGAGGGCCACTCTGCATTCCTCTTTTTTTGCCAGTTATTTGTGCAACATGCAGTTTTACTCTAAAGAATTCCATCTCCTAGCAGCTACCAGGGTTACTTGAGGCCTCAATGATCTTCCTTTGAGGAGAGGAAAAAATCCCCGAACTTTGTAATACAGTCCAGCGATGCATGAGAAGCCTTTGTTGAGTCAAAGGAGGAAAAAAAAGGAAAATAAAAATACCGTTCTCCCCTGGAATGTCTCCTAGGACTAGAGGAAAAATGCTAATTCCGACGACAGGAAAATAATTTTAAAATCAGAGCACCTTTGAGTTATATGAGGAATAAGATTAAAATGGGAAGCTGGGGGAAGAAATTCATTATTTTCTCGGAATCTGACATCATCGCACTCTCCAGCTCAGCTCTCCTGGTTTACGGCGCCCTAAGGTGTCTCCCACGAATTATTTCCCCGACTCGCCGTGGACATGCTTTGTGTGCAGGTGGCATGCAAAGGTGCAGAGGGACACGTGGGTTTTCTCCATTCCTCCACCATAGGCTAAGGGTTGGGGGGGGTTGCTCTTTTTAACAAAGTCCTGTAGTTCGCTGTTTTTATTTTTTACTGACTCTCAGATGAATGGGCCCTAAGCGTGCTTGTATTACTGGCTTTGACTAGATGGGCTGTATTTGGGTACTCCACGAGATCCACTTAAAAGTGGGCCAGAAAGGGCTGATAAAAGATGAATTTTTTTTCCCTTTGGGAGTGCGCGCTCGAGCTCGCGCGCGCGCAAACACCCCACCCCACCCACCCTACCCACCCATGCACCCAGGACACCCAGGCCACCCAGGCCACCCACGCCACCCACGCCACCGCCGAGGACCTCGGGTCTCCCCCGGATCCTGCTCGCCCAGCCTGCGGGGGAGCCGGCCTTTGGAATGCGCCCTGGGAAAAGGCAGGGACCTCGGGCCGCGCTGTCTGTCACCGGGGACGCCTCGCTCCCGGCGCGCCGCTCCCACGTCCCCGGCCTCCCCCGCCCGAGTGAGGAAGTCGCGCTCGCCGAGCTCGGGGGCATTTCTGCATTCTTTTCCAGAAGAGGACGGCCCTCCGCGGCGCCCCTCGGTCCCCGCGCTCTGCCAAGGAGCGGGGGCGGGAGCCGCGCGCCCAGCCGCGGCCCAGATGGCGGAGCAGCCCCGAGCGGGGACATTTTCTCAGGCTTTCAAAAAGAGCACTTTCTTTCCTGCCTAATATTTAGCTCCTTCAAATGCAAATGGAGAGGTTGCGCTCCAAGGTTAGCATAACAATTATGGGAAAGCTTTAAATCTGATGCGTTTGTTTACAGGATGAAAGGCGGGCAGGATCCGGGAGCTCGAGGCCCCGGCTTTGCAGCCACTATTTTCCAACTAGTGAGCTGCGAGTCAATTTTAGATGACAAAGGAAACCAATTTATATCCCGGTGTAGGCTAATTTTGGAGGGAATTCCACATTATTTTCATTTTTTTTTTAAATGACCGAGGCTGGAAGAGTGATTTCTCTTTTCCTTTCGTCAAGTTCGGTGTGAGCTAATTGGCGTTAGTGATCGGCAAGAAGGCCTTTATTATCGGGGACAATGAGAACCCGGGATGGGGCTAGCTCAGATGGACCATTTTTTAGAGAGCTGGTGGGGTTCTGGCATAAACTGCATACAAATATCCTAGTATGCCCGTTGAAGAAGTTGATCTTTTTTCTACCGATGTTCAGAAAACTGTTCATTAACAGGCGATGACGGTGGAGGACTGGGCCAGGCCCCTCTGCGATGGGTCCTATCTGTCTGAACTAAGGCCACCATTAGGGTCTGCCAAGGTCCAAGAAAGAAATCTCAGGCTTCCCCGGGGTGGGGGGGCCTTTTCCTTAGACACCCCAGGGGACTTTCTCCCCTGGGCCTCCCCTCCACTCACACACCTGTCACACACATAGGGGTAGCCTCTTCCAGGAGGTACTGTGAGGTCTCAGACTCAGGAAAATGGAGACGCTTGAGAGCTCCTTAAGTCTGTTGGCTTCATTGACAACACATAAGAAAATGTTGTAAAACGTGACAATCTGCGATGTCTAGGATTCTGGAAGTTTGAGTACCTAGTACTTAACAATATTACCCCATGGGCGGGTAATTATTGGCCAAAAGACATATGCAATTTTCAATGTTAAGATTCAGCTACAAAATCATTTTTTTTCCCTTGCAGTATTTCTACAGGTGAGCTGGAATGCCTGTTCTGAGCGAGCCAGAGTAAGCAAGTGCGCTGTATTACCTGACAGGCACCGAGCAGGGGTTCTGAGCACTGCACCGCGCAGAATCACTGGAGCGGCTAGTTAAAACAAGAATTGCTGGATCTCATCTCCAATGCTCTGATTCTGAGGTTTTGGTAGAACCTGAGAATTTCCATTTCTTACAAGTTACCAGAGATGTTCATGGCCTCTTTCCCAGACCACACTTGAAGAACCATTGGCCTAAACAAATCAGAGAAATATGCAACTTTTGTGATTTTGAGAGAATCCAATATAAGATTTTCCTTTTAGCAGGAATAGCTTAAAAAAAGAAAGGAAGAAAAAGAGAAAAAGCAATTGCTATCGATGGAATCATTCACACCAGGAGTTAAGTAAGACTGAGACACTATGCTTAAATTTAACATTTTTTCTAGTGGAAGTTTTTTTTTTTTTTTTTTTTTTAAGATTGCTGGCTTGAGGTATTTAGGAACTCAAAGCACTCAACGCAGGTAAAGTCTTCCTGAATAATATGTAAGTATTAGAAGAAGTTTATTTGACCCTGCTAGGCTGATGAATGGGTCCTCAGGAAACGGTGGCGTATTAATATATTTGTTTAACTGATATTCAGATACTTTGCGACCTGCTGCTCTGAATTTTCCCTTTGGCTATCTCAAGAATCATGTTCCTTTTATCAGTCACCCTGTGCTTTGGTCTCTTCAGGAGTGGTTTTTTCCTCTGAAGCCCTTGACAGGCTCCTTCTGATTCATTATTAAGACATCTCTTCAAACCCAACTCCTCCAGTAAGCCTTCAGGACGAGAGGTAGAAATTTTCCCAAGAGAACTTTGCTGTTCCAAAGTCAAATCCTAAAACTCCATTGCCTTCTTATAACCATTTACTGTAATCATACATCATTATCTGCTTGGTTATCCTCAGTCTCTGATTACAGAGTCTTCAATATGTGCATCTCCCTTGTTTTGCTTTAAATTGAATATCCTAAAAGGGCAACATTTTCATTCTGATTTTTTTTTTGTGTGTGTGTGTGTGTGGCGCTTAGTATAGAGTCCCCAAGAAATAGATTCTCCTCGGCTTTTAATGGAGTTGCATTTTAATAAACCCATCAAAACTTCAAAATATCATTATTCAAAAGTGCATTTCATGCAGTTACACTACCCAACATCCTAGCTCAGCCACATGGGCCACTGAGGAGTGTCATTGTTCACACTTAGACTGTGGTGGCTGACCTGGGGCAGCGCTGCCACCCAGCCTCCAGGGAGAGGCTCAGACTGTGTGTCACTAGCCTGGCCGAGGGAAAGATCAAATTCAAAATCAAAAGTATGGTTTCTATTAAAATGTGCAATGCTTTTGCACCATGACAAAGTTGGAAAACCTTAAGTTGAACTATTGTAAGTTGGAGACCATCTGTAGACCCATAAAAGCAAATGTTTTTCACTGTGATGATGCCTCCTTAAGGGTTGGCATTAAACTATTTTCTGTTTATATCTGCTAAAATAAGTGGATGGAAACACACCTGCTGAAGAACCCCTAGCTTGCCCCGGCCACTCGACTGGCACATACATGGGTGTAGATGCCCGGCAAGTAGGAAACAAATGATAGGAGAGATTTTTACTCGTCGTGTATCTTTATGTGCATTTAGGAAATATAGAGCTGATGAGATGATTTGCAAATCATTTTGTAAGTAAATGAACACCTATAATTTATCTTTTGCTTAATGTGCATCATAACACGCTTGGGGATGCCGACATAGGAGTCAAGGGCCTCACCAGCAAATCGCTCTGTCATTTGGGCACTAAGGATGGAGGGCAAAGCTTGAACAGTGTTAGCTGACTTCACTCTTTTCTCACCCACAGCAGCAGGGAGAATGATTCTTGCGGATTTTTCTGGATTACATGTCTTGCGTCTGCTTTGGTTGATTTAAAGCCACATTACACATACACACGCAGTAGGGTCAGCATTGGCTTAGACAGGTGTTGCGATTATGATAATACTGCCGACACCCTTTAAAATTATAGAGATCTCTCTGTGTGTGTGACAGACGTCTTGGATTTGCGGGAAACGCTCTGTGGAGTGGATTTCATCATCAAGGAGTCATTTTCTTTGAGCAGCTGCTGTTTCTACCTGCACATTGAAGTCAGCGAGGAGACATTTAATTGAGGGAAGGAGCAGATCTTCTTTACCCTTGCCGTTATCCTGTGTCACAGCTGACTGCTTTAGTGCCAATAAAATGTTAAGGGCTCTGGTTTTACTGGGCAAAGCCCTGGGTGGCAAAGTCATTCCTATTAAGTGTTAACACCACTTACTAAGAATATAATTAGGAATAAAATAAACTGGCATATAAAATTTGTATCTTAATCTTCCTCTGCTCTTGTTCAGGTGTTGAAAAATGGTGTTCTTGGTCCTAAATAATAAGAGTTAGAGTTTTAACGGCACTGAGCTACCCTCACAGAGAGGCAAGGAGTGTTTGCACAGGTATTTTGAGGGACCTGAGTTTTTTTGGAGGTCGACTGAAGAGTATGTCAAGAAGTGTGTGTGTGTGTGTCTATGTGTGTGTGTGTGCACATGCTCGTGGAAGCGTGTACATCGTGAGGTCAGGGGAGTGGCACAGGGGAATCAGATGGGAGAAAGTGGAAATAATAGAATAAGTAGGGCTCGGGTGTATTTATTTTCTAGTTCTGAAATAAGACCACAGTTTGGATCCAGTAGGTCAGTTATTTATAAACACACCATGCAGAGGCCAGATATCCAGAAATAACAGCTTCTAGTCTCCAGAGGAAGAGGGAGAGTGAATCAGAGCCGAGGTCTCTGCAGCAGGGGGGCCCCATTGGAGAACATTATTTACCTAATACACCCTGTTTTATTGGTCTGCTCTCCTGATGGTGGACCTTTGGGTTATTTGCATTCATTTTTGCTATTTTAAATGCTGCTATTATAATCATTATTATATTTGCTTCCTGGTGCAGATTATCCCTGGAACATCTTCTCTCTGTGATGCTTTATTAATTTGTAGCCTGTCTTGTCTATATTTTTTATTAATAAACTGATTCCATGTGTTTGTCTAGTGGAAATATTAAGTGGGCATGCACCTCCTTAACTTGTGTGATGATGACAAAACTGTTTTCTAAAAGCATGCTCTGCTGTCACAGGGCCCCAGCTCCTGGTTCCACTTTCTCCCCAGCCCGCTGTTGTCAGAATTTGAAGTTTCTCAACCTGGCTGCAGTGCGATCATTGCTTCTTGTTCCCGCTTCTTGATTATTAATGAGGTTGATAAACTGCAGGAAGAGCTCCAGTTCCGCTTTGTCACGAGGGTGACTGTGCCTTCGAGGTTTGGGGGACACCTGCTCCCCTCTTAGTGTGTGCTGTGACTTCAGTCAGGTACAAGGCTCGACACACCCCCGGGTCTGGTTCATGCTGTTGATGGTGTTCCCTTGGTGCAGTTGACTCTGTGGGACCCGAGTCTGCACCGTCTTCCTGTCTCACTCGACAGCTGCTGGACCCTTACTCTTTCATACACATTTCAGAATCAGCCTGACATGTCCCATACAAGTCCTTTCTGAAATTTGGCTGAAATTACCCTGAATGTATAGCTCACCTTGAGGACAATGCTCCTCAAGATTAGAGCATAGTGGGGGCTCAGTCCCACACACCTGCAATCCCAGCCACTGGAGAGGCTGAGGCAGGAGGATTGCACGTTTGCAGCCAGCCTCAGCAACTTAGCGAGGCCCTGTCTCAACAAAATAAAAAATAAAAAGGGCTGGGGATGAGGCTCAGTGGTAAAGCATCCCTGGGTTCAATCCCTGGTACCAAAAGGAAAAAAAAAAAAATCAGAGTATTGGATTTTCTAATCTATGCACATGATAGATTGTTTCCACAACTTTACTGCACTGTCTTATTACATTTTATAATCGACTATGAACTAATTGAGTTATTTTGTGAAGCGCGTCATATGGTGTGACCACAGTAGTGCTGTCTTTCTCTTGTGCCTTTAACTTTCCTTTTTCCTCTCTGCCTCTCCAATTGTTTCCCTCCTCCCTGTCTTTCCTCCTCCCTCTCCTGTGCCTCCTGTATCCCACTCCACGGGTTTCCGCACTGGTGGGATCCTTCTGCACAGTGTCAGTGGGGACATAGTGATGGCAGGCAAACGTGCCTTGCCCACGCGGTTAAAAGGGGTCCCGTTAGGCACAGTGTGCGCCGGGAGCCGTGTGCAGATGAACTGTGATTGGCTGAAGAGGTTTGAGGCCTTCTAAGAGCCAACAAGGAATGCTGATTTTCATCAGTGCTCCCCCAACCCTTCAGATAATCTCGTTATCTCCTTTAATTCATTCATGTGGAAATCATATTAATAAAATGACTTTTGCTATTTTAAATGCTGCTATTATAATCACGAATAATGATATTGATACTTTCTACATTATATCAGTAGTACCTTTGCTGGAGTTGAAATGACTTTACATTTCTGGGATACATTTAAATTGGTCTTTAAAGGATTTTGATTGTGGTAAAAATCAGATCCCATGAAATCGATCATGTTAGCCTTTGGTAAGTGTAGAGTTCGCTGGTGTTAAACACATGCACGTCACTGAGCAACAGTCTCTACAGCTTTTTCAAAAATCTTGCAAAACTGAAATTGAACTTTGAACCACACCCCTCCATTACCCTCACCCCCTGTCCCTGGCAACGGCCCTTCTACATCCTGTCTCCATGAATTCCACTACTCGAGAGAGCTCACGTAAGTGGGTGATAAGCTACTTTTCTTTTGTGACTGGCTTATATCATTTAGCATGATGTCTTCAAGGTCCACCCATGTTGCACCCTGTGTTAAAGTTGCCTTCCTTTTTAAGGCTGAATAATATTCCACCGCATGAATATGCACCACATTTTGTTTATGGATTTATTCATTCAGGCTGCTCCCGCCTCTTGGCTGTTGTGAATGAACGTAGGTGTGCAAGTCTGTCTTTGAGATCCAGCGTTTAAATATTTGGGATGTGAACCCAGAAGTGGAATTGATGGATTCTATGGTAGTTCTAACTTTGACTTCTTGAGGAATCTGCTTGCCACAACCATGAATGTCCCTGAAGGCCCATGTATTACAGGGCCCTCTGTCCCCTCTAGTCTAGGACTAGGTGAAGGGAGGTGTGAGGATTGGCTAACAGCGGCCCTGTGCTGATAACACCAAGGTCGCGGGTTTGTTCCCCGTACGGGCCACCAAATGCCGCAGTCTGGCTGGGCACGATTCAGGAGCCACTTGTCAAAAGAAACGAACTTTATTTTTAGAACCACACAGGCCAAACAAAACAGCTTCTCAGGAAAAACCCTCAGAGCCCAACTGCCACCACTGGCTTCCCACAAGCCTCTCACCACACACAAGCCTCTCCCCCTCCCACAATCCTCCTGCTCTTGAGGCCGATTGGCTGGGTCGCGTGGGCGGAGCCAAAGAAGTCCCCCAATGAGCATCTCCGTGGTCTGAAAGGGCAGGGAAACAGCCCAATGAGCATCACTGCAGAGGAGCCAATCAGCTAGATGTTGCTGGGGCCCCTTCGGCTGTGGCTCTCAACAGAGGTGGGTCATCCTGAGTGTGTCCTTGGTGGGATATTGAGCATCTGGCTCCTCTTCTATGCTGATTGGTGGCCAAGGAGAAAGGGCCTTCTGTGCTGTGCTCCTGCCGTCCTGTACCCTGCTGCCACAGGCCCACAGCAACAGGGTCAGATGACCTCAGACAGGAGCCTCGGAAGCCATGGGCCAAAATGCACCTTGTCCTTTGTTTGGTTGATTTTGTGGGATTTTGGTCACCGTGGCGGAAGCTCACACGCCACACTATTTTCCCCACCTCCTGCATCACTGGGTGTTCCTGCCCGGAGCACACGCAGGTTCCTATTTCTCCACGTCCTCCTGAGACTCTATTTTCTGTTTTCCTAGTAGCCATCTTGGTGGCAGGAGGTTTACCTCCTTGTGCTTTTGATTTGTATTTTCTTATTGAAGAGTGATGTTGACATGTTTTCATGGTTGTTCACCCTCTGGATACTCTTTTTAGAGAAAATTTCTTTGTTCATTTTTGAGTTTGGGTTGTTTGTTTTGTTATTGAGTTGTAGGAGTTCTTTATATATATTCTAAATATCAACCCAAATCAGGCACTGTATAGGATTTGCAAATATCTTCTCTCGTTTTATAAGTTGCATCTTTACTGTTGATTGTGTTCTTTGATACATGAAAATTTAAAATTTTGGCATAGTCCAATTTATCTGTTTTAACTTTTTGTTACCTCTACTTTTGGTACAAAACGGGTTTCTAATTGTTCTGTTTGTTAATATTTTGTTAAAGGATGTTATGTGGGCTGGGGGTGTAGCTCAGCTGGTAGAGTGCTTTCCTGGCATGTAGAAGACCCTGGGTTCAGTCCTCAGCACCACACACACACACACACACACACACACACACACACACAGTTTTATACCTGTGTCCACAAGGGAGATTGGCCTGTAATTTTTTTTTTAACAACTTCCCTTTCCTGGTTTTGTATTGAATTATATTAGACTCATAAAATGTGTTGAGAGTCTTTGTTCATTTTATGTTTTCTGAAATAGTCTGTTTAAGATTAGAATTATTTGTCCTTGAATAAGAAATAGAACTTGCTTTTGAGCCCCGTGTTCCACTTTTGGCAATATTTTAAACTTAGTAAAACTTCTTTATCACTAATCAGAGAAATGCAAATAAAACAACAGTGAGATATCAGCTCATACCTATGGAAGGGCTAGTCTCAAAAAGACAAAGGATGGATACTGGAGAGACCATAGAGAAAAAGGAACCCTCACACACTGTTGGTGGGGATGTAAATTAACAGAGCTTATGTTCCAACAGAGAGCTGGGCACCATGGCACCAGTGACTCAGGAGGCTGAGGCAGGAGGATTGCAAGTTGAAGGCCAGCCTTGGCATCTTAGGGAGACCCTTAGCAACTTACTGAGACCCTATCTCCAAATAAAAAATAAAAGTGCTGGGGGTAGCTCAGTGGTAAAATGACTTTGTGTCCTATCTCCTGTACCAAAACACAATAAAACCCGCATAAAATAGATATTGTTTTATATATTCAAAGTCTTTTTTGTTTTGTTTACACTAATCCATCTTCACTACTTTCTTTTCTCCAATTTCTCATTGTTTTGTCTCCCAGACTTTAGTCTTTGCTCATTTTTATTTTTCCTAGATGAAATACTATCAGTATTTCTTGAGTTTCCATGAATCATACGTACTTTGATTTTGGCGTGACACAGTTATTTTCCACAGCCCTATTTGGTGTTACCGTGCTCTTTCCTGGTTTCTGTTGTTACAGTGCCGGTCATCGTTACTTTTTAATTTGCCTTTACACTGTGACTTCTGAAGAGATCTTCTTTGGTCTCTGTTGTGCTACATTTGTGTTCAGGGGTGGAGGCCTCCTTATTTATTCTCTGGATATGTTGGGAGTCTGGAAGCTCTCCGTTTGTCCTGGAGATCCTGTCTGTCTGTCAGTGAAGCAAAGTTGGACAACCCCTCTTTGATCATGCACTCCCTTTACCCCCCATTCTGCGTCTCTCGTAACCCCTCTGGGTTTATTCTGTATGATTTCTCCAGGTCTTCCAGTGCATGGTTTTATCTTTAGCTTTGTCTTTCCACGTTTAACCAGCGCATTAACTTTTTAATTTCTGTGTTCATATATTTCCTTTCTATAAGATAATTATTTTTCAAATATGTCTTGTTTGACAGTGTCTTATTCTTTTGAAATAATTTCCATGTTCTCCTGTTATTTAAAATGGCAAATATGTTTCATTTACTTTCTATTTTCATCTGATAGTTCCAATATCTACCTGTGGTTTGTGGTCTCTCCCAGCTCTAGTTAATGGTGGATTCAATGTTTATTTTTTTCATAGTTGTGGGAACTTAATTTTTGATGGTGGGTGTTCTTGCTCGCCTGGACTGAAGGTGCTTCTTTCCGATGGGATTCACTTTTGGTTTTGCCAAGTTCCTGCAGCCACTAGCAATGAAGGGCCATTTAAAAATGATTTTAAGCTGGGCACAGAGGCACAGGCC